ATAATATAAAAATTAATACTTAATTATTAAAAAGTACCTATCGCGCGCACCCAATTACTTTCGTTAAATACCTTTATATATAATATTACTAGCTACAATCTGCGAATAGCTATCGTTAATAAATATATGTATGACATATCGAGTTAATTAATTAAAAATAATAGAAACGGAGTTCCGATGGTGTCACGACCGTAAATAAATGTAGTCTGATTGGATATTTCTAAGTAGTACCTATGTGTAGTAGTATACAATACAGTAGGTACTCGTAATATCTCAAGCTCATCAAACTGCTGCAAACTTATTAGTTATATAAAATGTCTGTAGAAGCGGTGTTCAACGTATCTAGGTCGAGAGCCGCGTCCTACGTGCCAAGCGCACACTTACAGAAGGACCTACTATCGTACACATTCTATACACACGCGGACACCGGCCTCGTCCGAGAACTAGGCCGAAAAACTCGCGCATGCGTCTTTAGCTGTATATCTACTGCTATTAAGATAATAATAGTTGCTATTACTATGGTAGCTCTATATATTCACTTGATAGGGGGTTTTCAACGTTACTTACGATTTTCACTCGAAACAATTGACAGCCAAAAGTTTTTAATGTTACAATGATTAAAAAAATATGAGGTCAGCATATTCTACTAATACCATTATAAATGCGAAAGTTTGTGAAGAGGGTAATATAGATGTATGGATGTTAGTTACTCTTTCACGCAAAACCTAATGAATGGATTTTAATGAAATTATACAATAATATAGCTCATACATCAGAATAACACATAAGTCACTTTTTATCCCGAAAAATATACGGTTTCCGTGGGGAAAACCTGGAGAACCTTGTAATAGTAAGCCAACGATTATGTATTTACTATTTATACATCCGGTGTTGCTAATGTTAATGCTAAAACTTTAAAGTATAGGACTATTTAATTTTGTCAAGTGAATTCTGTTACGTTTGTAATAAAAAGTAAATTTGCTTGTTCTGACGTATTCAAGCTAAACCTCTTGACCCAGCGGACTGAAATTAAAAATTTATAACATAATGACACAGTTAACAGTTACATATTTTTTTTTAATTCTACCCTTATAAGGAATAAAAAGTTGGTTAAGTTCTTTGAAAAACATTACTATTTTTCGACTGTTTAAATAATATCACCCAAGCAAGCTTTTAGTTCGAAATTAAAAGCCATCATTTGTGTATCATTTCCTTTAACTTTATATTAATAATATTTTTCCTTATACTTTAAGAACTAATTTGTAAGTACCTACGGCAGTTATTAACTTAGTATAATAATTATATGTTTTATTAATTGTTAAGTTTTTACGTTATATTCTTAGAACACTTTTAAAAGGAAAATCAAAATAGGTAATATTAAATCATTTTTGTCGGGTTCGTTTAACGTTACCTCAGTTGTGAGCATAAAGAGCACCTTGTTAGGTTATTCTAATTGGTAGAATATGTTAGATTAATCTAATAGAACAAAAAATGAATTAGGGCAGTGTTTGTACAATGTATAGCCTCATGAACGTTTTTTTTTTTCAATGTTTGTGAACTCTTTGCTTCACATACTACTCTTGACTCTTTATGGTATTCGTCTCTATTTTTGAGTTGAGTAGTTAGTATGTTAGTGGGATTCATACGGGATGTATCCTATCCTTTTGAAAAATCTTGTCGTTTTTACCCGTTATTTATACTAATATTATAAAAACACAGAGTTTGTTTGTTTGAACGCGCTAATCTCAAGAACTGCTAATCCGATTTGAAAAATTCTTTTTGCATAAGTTAGCCCGTTTATTACCGAAAGCTATAAACTATATATCATCATGCTACTACCCAAGGGAGCGGAGCAGTAAACATAAATGTCTACAAATCGGACAGACTTCCATACATTATTGTAAAACTGATGTTTATAATCAAACAAATTTATCGCGGGTAAAACCGTTTGGCACAGCTAGTGAGTTAAAGGTCTTCCATTATCTATTGCCATATAAAATATAAGGAGCTTGTTTAGATAGATTACTTCGAAAGATTTTATTTAATTTACCTAATTCCTTGCAAAATGAAGCCAAAGATTTTTTTGGTAATAAAATCTATAGGCAATGTTCCAATTACTTTTTAGACTTCTTTTTGATTGTTTAATCGGGCAATTCTAAAACGCTGGGCAGCTTTGAATAAGATTATTTTACTGTATAGAGTACAGACTAATTAAACAGCTAACTTTCAACTACATAGAATCACGCTTACATTGCAAGAGGATCGAACTGTAGTAGTTTGTTATGAATAAAACTGAATCACTTCAATTAAATATTTTATTTTTTGATATTGTACATGAGTGTGGTGTGTATGTAAAGCCAGCGTAGTATCGAACAGTCAATAGATCGTTATAATAATTTAGCGACCTGTCCTAATTTCATTCTGACCTGATTTGATTTTCCTGCCCTCGCTAAACTCAGGCGCGAATTGTGACCCGCGCGTTTAAAGTTTTAAGTTTTTCAGCAATATTCAATAATACCTGTTACGTTCATAATATTACAGTAGTCTGTATCTTCGTTAAAAACACGAAAAATTACGCAGCAAAGAAAGTAAAATCGGAAAAACACTTCTATATTTATACTTAGTTCATAAGGATACCACAAAAAACAAAATGATATTTTTGAATAATCGTTGCGGCGACGTACCTACATTTAGGAATGTAGGTACCTATTAGGTTCTATCTGTGGTTTGCAGGAGCTTGTATTTAGTGACTAATATGTAAATTGCCTCGTTGCGTTGGTAACAAAATAACGAAGTTCTATGTAAAAATTACTAAACTTCATTAAAATTAACATAGAACCTTGTAATAGTAAGCCAACTATATGTATTTACTATTTATACATCCGATGCTGCTAATGTTGATGCTAAAACTTTAAAGTATACTATTTAATTTTGTCAAGTGAATTCTGTTACGTTTGTAATAAAAAGTAAATTTGCTTGTTCTGACGTATTCAAGCTAAACCTCTTGACCCAGCGGGCTGAAATTAAAAATTTATAACATAATGACACAGTTAACAGTTACATTTTTTTTAATTCTACCCTTATAAAGAATGAAAAGTTGGTTAAGTTCTTTAAAAAACATTACTATTTTTCGACTGTTTAAATAAAATCACCCAAGCAGGCTTTTAGTTCGAAATTAAAAGCCATCATTTGTGTATCATTTCCTTTAACTTTATATTAATAATATTTTTCTTTATACTTTAAGAACTATTTTGCAAGTACCTACGGCAGTTATTAACTTAGTATAATAATTATATAATTCTAAAAAAATTTCAATATCAACCCAGAGTTGGGAAGTCGGTTGGCTCACTTCGTTACAGACATACCGTACTCTAAGTGCCCCAAAGAGCACACAAAGTCGTGGGTCAAAAATCTGATTTTCACCGCCCGCATCGTATTGTCGTCCCTACGAAAGTGAAAGAAATAGAATAGAAAATACACTTGGTGACTTGTGCACTGTAACAGACAGGCGCAGGATTCGCACAGGCTAGGATTAATTGCAACCTTCATTTCTTTGGATTTTTCCAATTATAATTTAAACATTCAATAATTTGTGTTAAAATCCATTTTCCGTCTCTTTCCAAGTAAAGCGCGCGTAAACCAAATACAAAACCATTCAAAATTGATAATCACCATTGCAATTCTTGTCTAAGTTTAATATTAAGTTAAATGTCAAAGTTAAGTCAAGTTTTACCGTGCACTTTTATTTTGAACTTATCTACTTAATAATTGTGATATCGTATCTTTACCGGTAGTAAGTAGTTATAATATTTTTTGAGAATTATTCTATTAACATCAAAACTTATTAATATATCGAATATTATTATAAGAGCGGTTACCAGCTAGTAAAGTTTTTGTATACATTTCCATGTTTGTGTTTCCACTTTCCCTTAATTAATTCAATTCAGTTTTCTTATTTATTGTTTTAAAACTTATCTACTAGTTCAGCACAGCTAAGGGAAGAATATACGAAGCGTACTCTGTTTGCAAAAACTAAAAGAAATGCAGCTAACTTCATCATGTCGCTTTTTGGCTGTCGGTGTGCAAGCGCATCGTAAAATTTTTAACCTCATATTTTTTCCAAACGTGCCAGAGGAAGTATAACTTCAAAAATAACTCATACTTTTTTATGTGTGGAACAGAAATATGACATGTAACAGTTTAACAATAAGTTTTGCGAAATACATGTTATCTGCAATACGGTATTGATAACGTTTATTTCGGTGCTATTTTTATTGTCGTGTCCCTAGTTAGCCACGTCTTACTTTCCTTAGTAAATATTCATTTGTAAGAAATTCATTTTTTGCATAATGAAAACACTGGAATATTAGTACCTTTTCTTACTAACTAATAAATATTAGCATTCCATATCTTAAATCTATACTAATATTATAAAGACGCAGAGTTTGTTTGTTTGAACGCGATGATCTCAGGAACTACTAATTCAATTTGAAAAATTCTTTTTGCATTAGATAGCCCGTTTATTGCGGAAGACTATATACACTATATATTCTCACGGAAAATGTACCGTTCCCGTGGAATAGATTTATTTTTGTCTAGGGACAAACTCGAAGCGAAGCGAGGGAGAGTCGCTAGTTATTCTATAAACACTTATAAAGATTAGCTGAAAGTTTACCGGAAACGTATAAATAAATATTTTATGTATATACCTACATTAAAAATAAGTTTTGAGTTTGCTTGAGTTTTTATCTAGCTTTGATGTAATATGTTATCATTTAATATACCTGGTTTTATAAACATTTTTCAGGGACAGGAATACAGCCATTGTAATATGTTGGCAATTGTATATTTAAGTTATCATACAAATATACCAAGCATTTCTTAGTGTGAATTTACTTTCGTTCTTTCATATAAACAGATATATTTTGTAAATCAACTGTGCCAGTTTTCTATACACTAAATATAACATTTAGCAATAACTTCAACTCTACCATAAATCAAACAAATAAATATTTTTGTTTATTTTTATTACATTGAACAAGAACAGCAGCCGCCTTAACTATATCTCCATCTGCTATTTCCAATTCTCTTTGACAGTCTTCGAAGGACACCTCAATATGTTTACCGACGGCTATCTTCACGCGCAGTAGCTTTATGGCTATGTGGACATTCCAACCGCTAAACTCCAATGCTTCTAGGCAATCTTCAGCTGTCACCTAAAAATAATCAGATTTATTCTATTTATTTTCAATTACATATTATATTATTTAATTGCGTGCTTAAAAATAGTGCACTAATAGGTAAACTCTTAAACGCTTTATTTTTACACCAAGGTTACTTAATTTTATGGTTTTTATTTTTGAAGTTATACCACATGTTTTGGCACGTTTGGAAAAAATGATGAGAGAAAAATTTTTACGGTGCGCGCGCACATCAGCCAAAAAACGACATTATGAAGTTAGCTTCGTTCCTTTTACAAACAGAGTTGTCACATACGGGATGAAATCTTTAGCTATTTTTGTTCTGTTACGCCAAAGAAGAACCAGACAATAACTTCTTACGTTCGTACATATGTACACACACACTTTTTTTGTTAATTCAGAACTTTGAGGTTATATGTATTCTCCTAAGTCGCCCACAAACACACGGGGAAAGAGATTCTGCACGAGTGCGGTTTTCGATATATATTCGCAACCCGGTGTGTTTACACCCGATAGTAGTTTTAATAGGCTATTTAATCGCAAGTTGAGTATTTTTATTAGTTAAAGGAGTTAATGGCTAGCAATTGTTAGGCCATTTGCGAGTGCTTTCCTCCCTTTGTGTAAACACCTTGATATGAAACCGTTAGTGTATAAAACAATCCTTATACCAGTATTCATAAAAAGTATTTAAGTTATTATAGAGGCAACGTATTGCTAAGGTATTTTTATTGTATTGTATTAAATGCAAACAACCACTCATAAACTTCTGCAACATAATAGAAGTTGTGAATGCATTGCCGGCGTTTTACGGACCTGAAGACAAGATTTTAGAAGAGTCCCTAATTTCAGGGAAACCTTCGACATCGTTCGAGAATTATAATGTGAGACAAAAATGACTATTTATATACATATTTTATATTATGAGATTTCAAGTATGTATAATGTGTGGATGGTATCCGAAGGTAAACAAAATCAGATAAGCATAAATAACCAGACCGACTCAAAATATAAAACCAAGTTCTCTTTCTTGGGACAGTAAAAAAGGACTAACCTGTTGCTTTAGCACTTTATTCATAATTCTGACTTCGTCAGATTCCACGCCGCGCTGTCTCGCCGAGGGCTTTTGATCGGCAAACTCTAGTAAATCTTCGACAGATACGTGATCTACAATAGAAAACATTTAATTTTATAGAGAACTAATCAAGTGAAATTACTACTGCCTTATCCAGGTCTCTTAAGGTACTCGGGATAGTACTCTAACATACGGACATAACTACGGTGTCCACTTTATCGGCAGCGCCATTTATTATTGAGTTTTGAACTTGTTAATTATTACAATAACATTTATATTGGACTATCCTCTCATTACTGGGATGAATATACTATTAGTGATTTTCATGTGAATCTAAATTTCATCTAAACGGGCTTAGTATCAATGGGTCGACATTAAAATTATTAATTATACAATACTAACCAAGTTAAGAAAAAATGCATTTTTCGATATCGCTTAATGTTCCTATAAACGGATATTATATCTTATTTATTTTAGTTATAGTGATTTAATTCTTGTATCGCCTACGTATCAAATTAAACAGGCCCGATCATATTATTGGGAGTATATAAGGGCAAATGGCTCTTATGTTATAGAAGTACAAGAGGTGAACAGGGGGTTATTACTGTCTATATCTGAAACTACATGGTTATTAAGATATGGTACAATAAAATCAAGACATTTATGACAACTAAGTGGGAGAAAGGCAATAATGTGATATTAATGCAAGTGTATTGTGCACAAGGAGCATAATATGGTTTCTTGGTTGGGCACGACACCAAGCTTTTATAAACACACGCTTTTACAAGACACATCCGCGCTTTCTACGTGCTTCAATAAAAAACGCCGTAACATATTGTAGATATAATTATAGAAGTGTCTGTAAGAGAGTAGAGACCCCGTGCGCTCATCATTTACCTCATTGAATAATTTGTCATGTAATGACGTCTTATGTGTCAAAATATATCGTAAACTCTAACCATAGCATAATAAAAAATATTGGCCATCGCTGAAGCCCATAAAAATTGGCTTCATGACGTTTTTGTAAATGTATTAATTTATGACTAATTTTAGAGCCTGTAACACCGGGCCTCAGTTTGTATGGGGAATGGTTTTGTCCTTTACATAATAAGCATGGCATGTTTTAGTTAGTCCAATGGGATGAAGGCAATAAGTTACAAATTATGTTATAAAATATCTACCGATAGATGGCGCTGTAGAAAATTACCGAAAAATTCTGAGACTAATGTAGACCAACTAGTATTAAATGTAATAGTCATACCTTTATTTAGTGATATTTCTTCGAAAGCAGTATCTCCACCCACAGCGCCTTCACATTTATCAGAACTATCATCAAATGTTTCTTCTAAATAACATTTGAAAGGATTCACTGAACTCGGCCCAGGCTCGATCGTCTCATTTGGCATTGCTTTAAAAGGGTTCGTATCTGCCTTTACAGTTTCGGGACCATCAAAAACATCAACACCCACATCGGGAAGTTCTTCCGGACGTTTGTCTTCTTTTTTACATCTGGGTATTGTGCAATTGAGCGTGTTCTGATATATGATCGGTTGCGGTTTGGCCTGAGCTTGAACTGTTGACGTTACGTTTACGTCGTATGAATTTGGAAATACCAAAGGGTATTTCCTAAAATGTCTAGGCTTGTCTACTAGTTTTGGTTTATTGCCTCTCGGTAGTAATGGAATTGCATTTGAATTCTGAAATTGAAGAAAAAACATACTTTTGTGTACAAAATGCTGGGCTATTTAATTACATTTCAGCTGATATTTGTCAACTGTCGAGGGTAGCAGATAGAGGATAAAGATTTTTAACCCACTTCAAAAAAAAGGTTCTCAATTGTCGATATATATTTTTTTAAGTTGACGATTCGTATTCGAATAATGTTTCCATTCAAAACGACGAGTCAAAACGATGACGTTATTCGTGTCGCCTTTTTTTATAAAATGTATAAAATACTTTTGTTTGTTAGTAAATACAATCTATAATTTTACTACGTATTATATCTGTGTGATTCTGCAGAAAATGTTTGATAATCATACCTCATTGGCTTCCTTTTCAGCATCACTTCCTTGCGGTGGGATACTACTGCAATAAATTAAATATTTATTTATCAAAAAAATACGTATATCTTTATTATGTAATACCGATATTGATAATATACTTAACATTAATTTATTTTATGATGCTTAATTATTACGTCATTAGAAAAAATAACGAGAAAAGATGTAATGAGAGGAGTCGAAACTACAATTGGGTATGGTGGTTTTTCTTGACATTAATCAAATACAAAGGAAATATGAAAAACAAAATTTCTTCAATAAATGCTTTAAGAAAATTATTTTTGATTTAAATTTATTTAATATCTAATATTTGAAAAATTGTACATCTCTAGTTGTACATCTCTAGTTCTTATTAATTTAACATTAAATCGGATACCTTTGTTGATATGATATCTTCTTTTGTAGTGAGTGGAATTGCTGAATATTCATTCTGGGTGCAGGTTTCGGTATAGTTGACGGTTTGGGTAAAGTCGCGGCCGCGTCCTGGCTCATGTGTGTTATTAGAGAAGTCGATGGTGTGGGCTGCTCTATGAGACTTGCGTACGCTTGCTTGCTTTCCTCTGTGAGGGTAGCCTAGGAATTTGAATTTATGTTACGCGGATATTTCTATACAATGTGTAAACATCAATTATAATTTATGCTCGCTTTCATAATATACTGCTAAAGAATTCATAACAACTTTGCATTTCATGTGAAACGGATAACGAAATAAAGTGAAATATTATCACCGTCTTATGTGTGTATTAACCAGCCGGCTGTAAAAGGCGCCAGGTACCTCACTCAGTGCGACATGACATGCAATCTTATTAATTTATTTCAATTTTGAATTAATTAAGCGAATTTTAGAACCTCACATTTTTCATCGTCCACTTCACGTGAAATGGCCCAACTGTGACAGTAAAGAAGAAATATGTTCCATGTCCAATTGATTCATCTAATTTAATATCAGATACTAATATTATGAATGCTTGTCTTTGTCAGTACGTCATTCTCCCGCGGTAACAAAGAAACGAGTCCATACTTTTGCATAGACATAGTTTGTGGATTGATAAATGATATTAACGTCCCACTGCTGGGCACGACCCTCTACTGCTTCAGCTACATACATACTCTCGTGTATAGGTGCCAGCGCAGGTATCACACAGTCAAACTGGAATCTCATAGTGCATCTTTGGATATATTGAATTAATTATTAAATGAGCAGAAAAAAAATCTATAAAGAGTAGATTCGGTTTTTATTATATTTTAAACAAAAGAAATAACATAAGATGTACAATAGTTATCTTGTTATATAAAAAAATATTAAGAAAAAACAATTTAGTCTTTATGTATTTCTCATTAGTATAGTTGGTAAATATTAGTAACTAAAAACATATTTTATTAATATCATAACAAAATGTATTAATATTGCAAGATCTCATATACCTGTATATCCGGCACACTTTTGGCTTCTTCGCTAAAGTTACGACGTTCCGCTTTATCTGAAACAAAAATGAATATTACTAATGTTGTTTGTACTAAAGTGTCCTTCTTTCAGGGGATTTTGCATCAATTTTACATAATATTTTGCATAAAGATTGGTTGTTGATATATATTTCTTCGGTCATTGATATATTTTTCTTAAATGTTTAGAAAAAAAAATCAACATATATTGTAAGGTATGTACCTTACAATATTTGTTAACTATTTTTTTATTGACATTTTTTGAATTTTTGAAATCATTTTTGTAAAATAGTGGGTAGGCACTGTCTGTAAGAAGTATGTGTTTGAGACGTCTATAACCTTAGTCTCTCCCGTGACCATGATTGCTGTAAAACATTCGAAAGGTCGGGAACTAAAAATCAAAATAAATCCACGAAGTAATCCGAAAAGATAGTTTTATTTAAAATAAAGATTGGTTGTTGATATATTTTTCTTCTTCATATTCTTGTACATCAAATAATTTCCGCGGCATATTATAATGTTGCATATGATGTTGTTATTTTGGAAAGAATGTTGAATTCCTCTTATTCCGCCCTTATTAGCGTCCTTTCAATACGAGGGGGATCAGGGCATAGTCCACCACACTGGCCAAGAGCGGGTTGGCGGACTTCACACATGTCTTTCGAAAACTTTCATAGGTTCTCTCAGAGATGCAGGTTTCCTAACGATGTTTTCCTTCGCAGTAAGACAAGTGCATGTTGGAAATGATTCGCACATGAAAATATCAGACTTGATAGATATCGAGATCCGGGATTCAAACCCGCTTCACTCGGTTTCCCAAGCGAGACCTCCACTGGACTATCACTGCTATGCTATGTTTATTCACACACAACATTTGCATAACTTTAATGAAAAACAACAAAGTTCAATTTAAGTGCTTTTATATCATACCAAACATTATTCAATTTTGCAGTTTTATGAATTACTGCTCTCAGGGGCTACTGAAATCTATTAAAATTAGAAAATTAATACCTAGCTGTGAATTTTAACTTACTATTTGTGTCTTTTTCAGTGTCATGGTGTGTGGCGTGCAAAGATGATACGAGTGGGAACTTGAAGTGAAACTTTGATCGCTCACAAGACGAGTTCAGTGGTTTTTGTTCGCCATCCAAGTCATTCATAGATCTGGGAAAAATAATATATTTTTTTAATTAATACTTTATTACTCATAAAATACAATGACAAATGAACAGAAGACTTGAAGCTGTTACATAATTCTTTACCCGCTAACTTAGCGAAGCAATAATGAGTGTGTGTAAGCGTGCAATATATGAAGATTAAACGTCAATAAACAATAAAAAAACTAGGATTCTTTTAATACATTGTCAACTGTACGTAGTACTTTAACTTTAAGTAAGAAGTAGTAACTAACAACATACAAGCAAAAATAAATTCGCGAAAAAATCCGAAAAGATAGTTTTATTCAAAATGTCAAACATTCGCGTAAATCTAAGAAAGTATAACATACAAACAAATAAAAACTACATTTAATATACCTGTTGTATTCAGTTAATAAATCCCCATATAAATTTTCATTCCCCTTTTCGATCCCTTAAGGGATTATTTCTGGGATAAAAACTATCCTATGTCTTTCCAGGGTCTCAAACTATCTTCATACCATAATTCATCTAAATCGGTTCAGTAGTTCTAGAGATTACTTACTTTCTACAAACAAACTCACAAACTTACAAACTTTACAAGTGCTTTATAACTGTAGATTAAAACTTACTTGGTTGTAATTTCATTTGCCATAGCAACGGCCGTGTTCAGTGTTTTCTCATCGTGTGCCGACATAGGCTTCATAGTTCCCGTATGTGACCCTTTTTTCTTTTCCATTTTGCTTAAAGTAAGGGCTCTGGAAATAAAATGCTAAAGTTAAACAATATTTCAAATATATATTGAGAAGTAAAAATAACCGACTTCAAAAAGGAGAAGATTATTAAGCCTTCTCCTTTTTGAAGTAGGTTGAAAATAAAGTTTTATTGCCTCGTTTCGGATTCGGATGACCTGAATTTGAGACTCGAGTAGGACCAAGTATAGTTAGTTTATTGGTTTTTTCATAGTTAGGAATGTTTTTATTCCATAGTTATTAAGTTACCGTAAAGTGAATCCGACGATCCGGTGATCCTGTATCTGATCTCTCATCACGAGTGTCGATTTTTTGTGTCGGAGTTTAAAAGTGTAAGGAACAGAGAATATAATCTTTAATATCTGCGACGCAGTTAGTTATTTTCAGCTAAATTGGCCACTGTTACATCAATTCAAAATTTTAAATCTTAGACTAAACAAAATGCTATATTAAAAATTGATTAAATATTAATGTCCCCAGCATTGGTCACTATATAATTATACAAAAACAATTTATCAGGACTCTTAAACATAATATTTATGAAGAAAAACTCTAACAAACCTTAAAGCCATTTCCACTTCACTTTCCATAGTTCTTACCTGAAATTATCATATTGATATTGTTAAAGGTTTGTATAAAAATTTTTGTGAAAAAATTCTAAGAAAGAATAAACAAAATGCAATATTTTAATAAAATAATTTAATGTGGATTTTGCTTCTAAGTCCATGCTTTGTGAAAATATGATTTATTAAAAAAACAACAATAATGTAGTAATAAAACAAAATCATTACATAATCTACAAACTGTAGCACAATGAAGTCACGAAGAACATGCAAAAAATATATCCTCACTAAAAACTTTGAATTTTAGTTTAAAGCAGTAATTTCATTTAAAAGGAAAATAACATTCAGACGACCACTGCTAGAAGGTAAATCTATAAAATGTATTAATAACGCTGCCTGAGGTAATATAGACAAAACTACATACGAACAGCAGTATAAATTTATGTAATAAATATTAATAAAATATAATCATTAACACAAACATAAAGACAAAGAGACATAAATTAATAAAAGGCAGAGAGTAATAATAATATATTGTTAGATTTCTTACTTTATATACCTATGTATATATAATCCAGTCAATAGATGAATCAATGTACAAAAAATAAAGCAATTTTCTCGATTTTGCCATTCGATAAAGGGACTTCTTCCAAGCCTACAGCCAAGTTTGAGGGGTCGCGGGGACACTGGAGACATTGTATAAAATGCGTTTTTCGCGATAGCGGCGTCAGCGACCCTCGAGCGACCTTTAAATCTTGGCTTTAGGCTTAGAAAATGATCTTTAACGAATGGCATTATCGCGACAACTGTTTTATTTCGTGTAGATTTCGCCGTTGTTTTTTTCTTAATAGATTATTCCATTGCACCCTATGATGTTTGAACATTTAAAAAAAAAGTAATACTAACTACTTAATAAACAAATAATAAATACTATATATTTTGAATTGTAAAACTAAAATAAACACAAAAATAATATATAGTATAATGTAAAGTATAACAAAACACAGTAAAATAATAATAATGTGAAAAATCTCTAAACCTTAAGGTTTCAAAATGTCTGATAAAAAAAATAAAACAGTAAAAAAGATCTCCGACCTCCATGTCGGGGAAATTCGGCGATAAAAAAATATATATATTATGTAAGAAAAGTAGAAGGAAATATGGAAAAGGATTTATTTTCGCATAAATAAAACTATGTAACATTTAATACACATATAATAAGCTTCAACTAACATTTAAAATGCATCAAGATGATTTGGAATATATTATCTAATTGACACAATAATTGATTTTGTTTTCATAGGGAGAGTCTTCTTTCTCAAAAATCCTACGTAATATCAGTTCAATTTTAGATTGGCACAGATATTACATACAAATATTTTTATAACTATAGTAACACTAAAATAATGGCCACAATGATTCACATTTAAAATTTGGCTTATATCTAGCAGAGAATGAATAAGCATTGACGTTATCAACAATCATGTTCACAAAAGATCTCTAAAACAGCTGTGATATGACAACTACATGTATAAACTGGACAGCGAACATGGAATATTAATATAATTAATACATACGCGTACGTACGTCCTTTTTGCTCGTACTTTTGGCTACAAAACAAGCCAATGATGTTTTTTACTTACTACAATATAAGCTATTTATAACTGGTAATTGAGAAAATCATATTTGGTATCAGTGTATTTTCTCAATTACCATAATAATGCTCTAAAAACTAGCAAAATTGAAAACTTTCTAATCATAATCAAGCCTACTCTTACCCATGGTCCGACAACAGTAAATGAACCTGAATAAGGAAAATTTTGAAAAAAAATTGTATTTTATTATGTATATCATTTATGCCAATTTACTCCTAATAACATTTCTCATTTGCGGGCGATTTTTGTACTTTAAATGTAAGTTAAAGTGTAATGGGTCGATTTGAATCCATACAGTGACAAATCCACAGATAGCTCGTAATTCTGTAAAACACGATCATCAATGTAGACAAAGACAACCTAAAAGATGTATAAAAATTTCACTATTACATGTAACAATAAAATATTCGATTTAAGGTAACTGTGAAATGTTTAGGTATGTTATACTATACTAAAAACATTTATTACGCTAATGTCAGTGGCTTTGCACACGTTTATTTGAGCGCCGCTTCGCTCAACCTATAACTGTGTATCCGACCAAACGATTAAAATTAAACTTAATTTTAAGGTGTTGATTCTAACGATTTAACGAAGGTCTCATTGTTTCTTTTGGGCTAATTTTAGTGATTAAAGCTAAAGCTGATTAACAGAAAAAATATACGAAAACTTCAGACCTGGCTGGCCCCTTTTTTTTGTTATCGCTGGGGAAACCCATCATGGGGACCCTACCGGCCGTCAATGGGTAGGGTACTGTGAGACTCCTACTCACTAAAACCCACAGCGGAATCCGTCGCCGCAGTGCAATGGGGCGTTGCAGGATCGCTTGCGCATTCACTACAACACCCCAAACCTGGCTGGCTGGCCCCTAAGACATCTCTGTCTCCGAAAGTATTACTTTTAAAATATACTTTATACTCATTGTATGTATGTATGTATTCAGCCTTTCTTAACGTCCCACTGCTGAGCACGAGCCTCCCTTCAATATGAGGGGGATCAGGCCATAGTCCACCACGCTGGCCAAGTGCGGATTGGCAGACTTCACATGTCTTTCGAAAACTTGCTAGGTTCTCTCAGACACGCAGGTTTCCTCACGATGTTTTCCTTCACCGTTAAGACATGTGGTAATCATGTTGAAAATGATTCGCACATGAAAATATCAGAGATACGAGACCCGGGATTTCCCAAGTGATTGACCCAAGCGAACGCGTCACCACTGGGCTACCACTGCTATCATATATACCACTACTATCATTATATTGTTATATTTTTGGAAGCGACTACTCGCCTGATCTACGTGTCTACGGGAAGCTTTCCCGTAGCGGAACCATAGATCGATTGAATTTAGTTGAAGCTTTTAAACCATGGAAGAACTTCCCGGACTTCTCAAAATTTTTACATTTATATATAAAGTACCTGGGCCACGGAGCTTCGCTCGCACCTTTTGGTCAAAAGTAAAATTTTCTTTAAAAAAGAACCAAAAAACTTGAATAAATACACAGAAAAACAAAAGTAAATTATACCTTTGTATCCGACCGGGATTCGAACCCGGACACTTATTCAATCTTGCGCCTTGGCCGCTTGACCACGATGCTAATGCCCGAGCGTGCGAAATTATCGAACACAATATTTTGCGTGGAATAATGCAAAAGAAAACCGCATGAAAATTCGAAAACACGCGTTTTCCCAGACATAAGACTAATCTAGATCGATTTATCGCCCCCGAAACCCCTTGTGTACCTACTAAATTTCATGAAAATCGTTGGAGCCGTTTCCAATATTCAGATTATATAGATATATATATAGATATAGCAATTCTTGTTTATATATATAAACAAGAATTGCTCGTTTAAATATATTAGATAAGTTCTTATAAACAATTTCTGCGATATTTGTTTAAATATAATTTTCTTTTATTTTTCGTTATTACTTTTGTATGTCATCAAATTATGGAACTCGGCCACAGGGACTAGTGACAAATACGTCACACGTGTACGGGGTACAGGTTACCGATTCAAAAATATATTTTGATGCAATTTAATGATTATTGAAAATTATGAATACTTACTATTTATTATTGACAGAAATAATTATATTCATATTTTTATATTAATAACGATTACAAATAAATTAAAATACTATTATTAAAATTTAAATAACGTGAAAAATGTACTTTTTTTATAATATTTTCTTATTATAAACATCGATCACTAATAAATAATTAGATACACAATCAGCGGCAAAAAATGTCGCCGTAAACTTCCAGTGATTGTGCTTTGTATGTGCTTTTAATTTAGTAGTATATGAACGCTCCGCCGGTAAACATAGTAAGGTGTGGAATTGAGACATATTGATTCATATGCGGGCTATCTATATTGTTATGTCAAAAAAATAAATGTAACTTCGAGTTTTAAAAGCGTTACTGTTGAGTTTCTCACCGGCTCTTCTCTGCAGAACTGCTTTCCGAGCCGGTGGTAGCATCCTCACGGACTGACTACACTGAAGCTTATAGCTATATAGCTTATAGGTATAGTATTAATTATTTAAGCCATATAATTGTTCTACGTGTAATTTAAAAAGTTAAAATAATTAAGGATAATAATTTTAATTTAGTTTGCTATTATTTAAAAGACAAATTACTAAGCAACACTATTACTATATACTTTTACAAATGAAAATGCTGTAAAACATTCGAAATGTCGGGAAACAATAATCCAAATAAATCCACGACAAAATCCGAAAAGATAGTTTTATTTAAAATGTCAAATATACGCGTAAATCTAAGAAAGTATTGTATAAAAATTAGTGTTCGTGTATTCGTCTTTTACGAACATCGATCATCTGATGTATATGAAACTTTGCACAGCTGTAGTTGGCATTTGCGCAACATTACTGACACAATGAAGTTTTATATAATAAATATTAAATATTACTGTAGAATGATGTATGAAACACTGGGGAATAGTTTAATATGCGTGGCACTTGTTAAAAAATCAAATTAATAAAAAAATATGGAAAAATAACTTTTAGTAACGATTTGTTTAAAGCAAAAACGTTGCAGATTTGTCAAACCTTTATTTTAGATTAAGGAAGAATAAGGACCGTGTCGTAGAATTAAACATGTCAAAGCATTTATTCTGTTATCTATATACTATACTAATATTATAAAGAGGTAAAGTTTGTGAGATTGTGAGTTTGTGACGTTGTAGGGGGTAATCTCTGGATCTACTGAACAGACTTAGATGAAATTTGGTAAGAAGATAGTTTGAGACCCTGGGAAGGACATAGGATACTTTTTATCCCGGAAATCATATTTTAAGGAGATGAAAATGGGGATGAATGTATGTATAAAAATAATTAAACCAATGTTTTTTAAGTACACAAAGAAGAAAGAAAGAAAACAGAAAAAGAACAGAATTGAGTACCCCTTTTCTTATTAACTATATAACTCCTTTCTAATTTATCTTCCTCTTTTTTTGAAGTCGGTTGAAAAGTATAAAAATTGATAAACAAACATTATTACCAGCATAATGTTTTAAAGTAGCATACAAATATTAATGGAACACTTACTCATTACTTTGATAAGTAAATTGACTGTTATAATTTAAAGAAATATGTATATTTAAAAAAAACGAATAATTAGTATATATAAATTACCTCTTATTCAAAGGGGAGATAAGTAACAAGGCTTAAAAACACGAAATAATACAGTATTATTTTTCCTATACATTATTATTCATATTTTTTTCTCAAAAATTATAGTTAAAGTTTAATCGTTAGATTAATATATAAATTTCCCTTCTTCTAAAGAAAGTAAATAGATTGGCTAACATCTACTATATTTATTTTGAATTTTTTTGGCGGACTGGGGCTATATCATTTTTTAGTATTTAACTAGCTTTAGTATATGGGCTCAATTCCATTAGATGTGCATATTTTATTAAATATACCTTCAAATGTTGATAGTCGCAGATTGAGACGCAATTATTTAAGTGCACTTGTTATTAAAAATATACGTCAACAATACGTCATGCAGCGTTTAAATATTATCAAGTTCACGGGACTCTGTTATTTCGGTGTTGCCATGGTCACGCATACTTATATGATCTGTCAGTTCAGTACCAAATATTACGTCCCGCTCACTCGTATTGAAAATACAACAACATATTTCTTTGCTTTCGTGTAAATATTACCTTTTTTGCTTTATTGGTATTTCTTGGATTATTAGGATATTTCCTAAAGATACAAAAGATTTTATCAGCCCTTTGTATTGAGTAAATAAAAAAAAATATCAGTAGCATCACGCACTGCTGTCTATAAAAGACTAAAGTGAAATTAGTGATATCACTCTCATCGTATAGACACTAGTTTGTGGTGAAATCTCTGATAACCGTTAACAGAATACAAAAAAACAGCTTTATAAATAATAAGAAGAACTTACTTCTTCATTGCGTCTTTCATTAAGGCTCTTAAATATCGATTCCATCTCATCCAGTAAGCTTTGACTGAAGTCAGCACATCCTTTCTATTAAATAATACAAAAAAGATTATTTTTTTAAGATTATTTGGATGGACTCTTAAAGTCCACTCCATAGTTTTGTTCAGCTTTTCTTTTTTGTTCGCAAAATCTTTTGATTCTGAAATTGTACACGCACGAAGCCATCTCAAAGATAATAAAATAAAAATAACAACAAAACATAAAAATGATCACAAAAAGCCACGAATGTATGTCTATGGGTGTTAGACTTACTCAAATAAAAAAAAAATGTTTTCCCAGAGTTTTCAACTATTTCCATACCAAACATCTAAATCGTGTCAGCGGATTAAACGTGAAAAGGTGACAGACAGACAGACAGACAGAGTTACTTTCGCATTTAATATTAGTATGGATATATAAAGCTGGTTTTTCTGTGGTGCTGGTCTATCATCATCGGCTTCGGCAAAGTTGATAAGACAGTCAGTGTACTTTAGGAGATAGACATATACCGCAGACTTTTCTGTAGGCCTTTTCAAGAACTACAATTTTATAGTACATTGTTTCGATGTGCCTCTTAAGATTTAACCAACGTTCGTCATATAAATTTCTAAGGACGACGCGATAGAACCAGTTGTTGTGTTTTCCCGTGGGAATGAAAAAATCCCTGTAGTAAAAGGTTTAGGTTTAATCCAATCAGTAGTTTTTGTGTACTAAGCTGTATAAGTTACTATAGTTTTTTAACTATCCCACGGGAACTCTTTAATTTTCCGGAAAGAAAAGTTTTTAAGATGTTGACCGGGGATATAAAGTACCACCATGTAAAGTTTCATTTAAATCGGTTCAATAGATTCGGAGATTAGCCCGTACAAACAGACAAACAGACAGAAAAACAAAAAAATTGGAAAAAATCTAGATTTGTTCTATTTCCCTTCTTACACCAGTCAGGGATGACTCGGTTTTTAGCCATTTCTTTTATGTACAGACATTCAATCTCTACAGTTTTATTATGTATAGATTCTTCTCCGAGTATTTCTTAGTTTCTTTACCCACACATCACCCTAATTTTTTTTTGTTATTGGGATTAGGAAAAAAACAATATCACATTTTACATCTAAAAGATGCTAGTGCGAGTCGCTAATAACTAAATATTCTTACTATTATAGGGCTTTCTGGAGGACAGTCTCCTTTCATCTCGGCTGCAATACTTTCCTGCAATGACAATTTTTAAATGAAAAAATAAGTTAAAAATGATATTTACCGTAATAAAAACTATCGTTTATTGAACAAATCTTTGAATTTAAAATATCATATAAACCTCTCTAACCTTTTTTTTGGCAAATTATTACAAAAAGTAACGAAAAGTATTGCAAATAAAAGTATATATACGTATGTACCACTGATACATACGAACAAAATAATCAGAACATATCTTAAGAATACATGTTACCGTGTCTGAAATTTCGTGATATTCGTGAACTTCATCATGTTTTGTTGGTTCTTCATTTTTGTGGGAGCGACCAAGTGTAGCACTCTTTACCTAGAACATATACTGGGATATAACATATGACTGGGATAAGTAATTATCTAAAAAAAGTTTAGTGCAATGTCTCATCATGTCAAAATAAAAATACAAAATATAAAATATTTTTTTCAATGATGGATTTCAGATATTCTCTTTTTGTTTGTCAAAAAGCCTAAGACAATATTTATAGTCTTTAGCAAGTAATATAAATTATATGTACCGACTACTGACATTCAGTTTAAAGACGGAAAATTCCGACATCAATGTTCCGATAACCTGGGACTCTAACCCAGAACCTTACGTCCAAGCAATGCAATCTACGATAATCACTTAGGGTGAAGACAAATAAAATCCTTAATGTTACAAAAACCTAACATTTTACTTGTCTTACCTTATTCAGAAGACTGGTTGTCGGCTCCAAGATCGACTTGTGTGTTCTTTTAGCATTTTTTGATTTGTCAGCATCTAAGAATAACAAATTCTTTATAGCAATAAATATTAGTATTTTGCAATTTAACTAGGTAGATAAATACTAGTGCAATTAGAAATAGTAATCAGACTACAATTATTGTTAGAGTTTGTGTGTTTATATATTTGTTACTCCTTTTATGGTTTACATAAAATTTAGTACACAGAAAGAGTAAAATTAGAATAACAGAGGCTACTGATAGTCACCTAGAGACGCACCCGAGTAAAGCGAGAGTAACACACTTGAAACAAAACCTTTTGAATATTATTTCATAACTCTTTTGTAATTGGATTAACTATATATTGTTATTTTTTAACTTTAAACTAACTTAATTTTTGTTTAAATCCAAAAACAACTGAATACAAAATATAAATCATTACTTACAAGACAAATCAACTTCATCGCTCTCCATTTTGGGTTTAGAAGAGCTTAATAACGGATATGGCGAAGTGTTTGTAGTGGTTAGATGTGACGGCGAATTGGGATTAATCAGCGGTACTTGCTCCAAGTCTTCAGATGGCTTATATGGAGTCACGATCTGACGGGGTGGCTAAAAAATTAAAATACTTAATCTGAGTCTCTTATATTAATTTTTTTTAATCTAACATATAAAATTCTCGTGTCACAATGTTTGTAACAAAACTCCTCCGAAACGGTTTGACCGATTCTTATGAAATTTTATATGTAGGTCTGAGAATAGGATGTAGCGTGATAATGGTATATAACTCTAGGCACGAACTCAGCGGAGCGAGGGTGAGTCGCTAGTATAATATAATAATATTTCTTCAAATTATGAATGGCTGACAAAATATAGGTCGATATATAAAAGCCCAGTGATAACGCGCTTACTTGGGAAAGCAAGTGAAGTGTGTTAAATACCGGCCCTCGCACCTGTGTTAAACTCATGTGCGAATCATTTTCAATATACTTGCCTTACGATAAAGGAAAACATCGTGAGGAAATCAATATGTCTAAAATAGAACGTAGCAAGTTTTTGAAAGGCATGTGAAGTACACCATCCTGTACTTCCCCATCGAAGTGGCGGACTATAACATGACCCCTCATATTAAAAGGTGACCTGAGCCCAGCAGTAGAACGTTAAAAAGAAGCTGAATACACCTATACACATATTCACTATACATATTTAAAACATCTTCAAGATAAGAATGGAATTAAATTAATGAGTAAAAAGTAAAAAAAGTGCACACAGAGAAAGAAACAACAGAGAGAGAAGAAATTCGCTAGCAATTTGTTAAAGAACATTTATTTTCAAGTATCTTTAAGTACACCAAGAAAAAAGATTAACCGCGACATTAAGAATGTTTGCAGCGTAACAACCACCCAACGTGCAATATCAACAAGTGAATTGCTAAAGTTATTTAAATAGGACTTTATACTCCTTCCTATGTTTATTCCCTTCTTCATACATACGCATATAAAATTGTTCGATACAATTACCCTTGTGATGACAATTGAAATAAATAATCAACTAAAATATACCAACCTCATCTCCACCAAAGTATCGTGTTAAACACGCCGAAAGTTTCAAGATGTATAGACTAATTTTAATTTATGCAAGAATTTATAATTTTGGTCAATTTATGAAACTGCCATTTATCCCGTGTGCATAGGTGTAAAACCTATTTTAAACTGATTGAAGCGACCCATTCAGCCGGGCCCGGGCCGTCCTGCGCCGGTGGGAGGAAAATCAATAAAGCCTGTTACGTATTGAATACTTTATTGCTAAATGTTTATGTTGGTACTTGATTTATGAGCAGTGATTTATGATTTACTTCCGAAATAGTCTTTTAGACTTACAGGTGATAAAATTAGCATTGAACATCAAAATGATAATGGAAATTAGCAATTAAAACTTTTATTTAATTATTCATAACAAATAACTTAGGTTAGTGTCTAGGCTCTTTGTTAGAACCTGTTACATATATACACATATACATTGTCTTGCCCTAAATATTGTTACAAAGAAAAAAACATTTTTTCTATTGCACGTAACATTTATTACTATTACATTGTGTTAGTTTAATACATAGCCATTAAAAATATATAAAGCTTATTAGAAGTGGTCTCCATTGGCTGCAATACAGTCCTTTAAACGTTAAGGCCAGTTATCAATAGAAGCACGCACTCTTTCCAAGGGAAAATTCTTCACTGCCAATCGTATAGATTGTTTTAGGGACTCCAAATTATCATGGCATTTAGAGCAAGCCATACTCTCTTAAACTGACCATAAATCGTAATCCAACGGATTAATATCGGGAGTAGATGACAGCCAGTCTTCAGCTCTGATGAAGTCCGGAACGTGGGTATCTAACCAAGATTGCGAGGATCGAGCTTTATGACCCGGCGTATTGGGTGTACATTGGGGTAACATGGTGTTGTTAAGGGGCTTAACTACCTTCTCAAGAATGACATCTTGATATACTTGTGCCGATGTTTTGATACCTTTTTCAGAAAAATATGGCTCCTTCATAGCTAACGCCCCACCAAACCATCACTGAAGTCGGATAATGCCCAAGTTGTACTCTGTTGACTAATTGGGAATCTTCCTTAGAGCTTTGAGCATAAATAGGGTCATTTGGTTTGTTAATATATTGTTCAATTGTAAAAAAAAATTCATCCGTAACAAAATTTTCTGTAACCTCCCTTTGCGCACCGCTTAAGTAGTTGTTTTCATTTTGCAACCCTATTGTTTTTTAAATTATCAGTTAAGAAATGACCAGTGCGTCTCTTATAGGCTGCAATCCCTAAGTCATATTTTAAAATACGTGACATGATTCTAGGTGTTATATTTATCATCCGAGATAAAATCTTTTGCTTTCGGACAGGATTTCATCGAATTCTTTCCCTTACTGCTTTGATCACCTTTTTCATATGAACACTAAGTGGAGAGCCAGATCTTTTTCTGTCAGAAACAGAGGAGGTTTCATTGTATCTATCAATAGCCCGGTACACAAACATTTGATTAATATCAAAAGCGTATGGAGATTTTTAAAAATTGTTATTGGCGCCATACCTACTTTGTGTAATGCAATCACAGCGATTCGGTTCTCTTTATCACCATTTTAATATCAAAATATTTTACAATGTATTGGCGCCAAAACGAGAAAACGCAATGGACAACGAATTAGACCATGAACGAATTAGCCAATGGACCCGACATATAATACAAATGCACGAAAACTCGTTCAACCAAGTGAAGCATAACGCAAAGATTTTATTACATTATTATAAACACAGATACACAATACATAAAAATTCACTCTATTTCTAGTGGTTGAACGTAATATATAAAATACATATGTCGATGAACGAATGAATGACATTTTAGACATTATTGTTTTTTGCGCCGACAGGAAATCTAAAATTTTGTATAATTTATGCGTTAAAATAAAATAATCTTTATGATTATTGCAGTGGAATAATATTCTAAAGTATATAAATGTGGTATAAAATAAACAATTAAGTATACATACTAATTATAATTATTGCATTTATAATATTTTTATTTAATTATAAAAAATATTATTATAAATTTATTGTCATCAGAAAAGTATTTTCTGTTATTGTACTGTACAAATAACATCATTCGTTCAGTCATTTCGTCAAATATCGATATATTTTTCGACATTGTCAAGCACTAATCGATGTCAAATGGGCTCACACGACAGTTTTGTCATTCGTTCTGAATGGTGTTCTGAATCCATTTTATGATGGTTGTCAGATGTCAACAATACATAGAAATATCGACTATATTTAACATAGTTGGATAATACGACATTTTATTTTACATTTGATTAAATTTTGTAATAAATAACAATAAATGTTATAAAATAGTGTATTTACAAGTGAAAAGAAATAGTGCTGCTTCCGCCGCTATAGATTTTACACCATTTAACAGAACATTTAGTCATTTCGGGAGATGTTTTGTTGACGAGTAAGTGCTTGGGACTGCCGCAAAAACAAACGACCAAGGCTAGAATTTACTGGTTACTGACAAGACCGGTAAAGGTACGTCCGCTTACGTGTCGGGCCCTGTGGCTAATTCGTTCATGGAACAATCATATAATATGAGAGATTCCAAATTCAAATGTAATATTATGTTTATTTTTAATTGTAGCAGTATTTATGGCCAGACTGTGTATAAATAGATATACTTCAAAAGTAAATAAATATTTCCAGAGATGCGGAAGAAATAAACAAACTTGGTATTAATGCTCTTTAATACAATTAAATAAATACCTGTTTTAGCATTTTTCGAAATTCATCCTATAAGGGGGTAAAATAGAGGATGAAAGTTTGTATGAAATCTTTACGAGTATTTTTGTAGTTTTTGCGCGAGCGAAGCCGCGGGTTCTGCTAGTACATTAAACATACATATACCGATATAGGAATAAATACTTAGTACTGTTTTGTTATTGACTTCAAGTAACACGTTTTCATGAATTATAATATTTTATTATAACACCGATGACAGAATAATTAAGCTTTTATTAAACTCGCAATTTTTGTTAGTTGGTATGTTTGTACGGGTCAAATCTTGCAAGCTGAATTAAAACCACTTCCTCTTATCCTGCAGAGTTGAAATTTTACTTGTAGGTTCAGTTTCGATGACAGTGACTTTTTATTATAATTATGACTTAATTCTCCGCCCAGGATTACCTCCAGACAAAGCAACTCCTCAACAGTACAGACACGAAATTTTATACATGCATTCAATTATTATATCCTGACTTGGCTGCTGCACCACTTGAGTGCTCCTCAGCAGTCAGGAAATTTTGTATTTGCATTCAATCATGATTCAGTTGACTTAAATAATGGACCATGACTTGTAAACTAAAAACTTAGATAAATAAGTCAATAGTAAAAAAATATCATTTTTAAAGATCTTTTATTTTTATGCGCTAATTAAAATAAATTTGTTTTTAAAAATGTTTCTCTACTATTAATGTAGTTTAGTTTATAGTGAACATTTCTTTAGAAGATATGAAGTATCATAGTTAGAAGTAGGTACCAACGTAATTATTATTAATACATCATAAACAAACTAGAAAACTAAGAGTTTTAATTAAATTGTAACATTCTCCCGCGTACATCGTAGGCTTACCTACTTGTTCTTCAACAAGGGCTTTATATAGATATTTAGTATAAGTAATACCGGATACATTGAGTACAGCGTTTCTATCTTATTACTAGTAACGCATCTAGAATAGTTGATATTACTTGGAAGTATATATCAAATAGGACAAGATTTTTACCTAGGCTCTTATTGGCTAGAAACATGTAAAAACTGACGTGTAACATCAATGTACAAACTAAAAGACTTTGCAATATAAAAATAGCAAAAAAGTAGATAGTCATGAGGAACCGAATAGGTTTAGCCAGATATACATAATATCTAAACGTAAGCTCACATCACTACTTGTCGTACAAATTTAACTACCAACATAGTAGATATTTACAAGTGGAACCAATTGCTATGGCTATTATTATATACTTACGCAACCAGCAGGGTCCAGGAACGATAGATCCCCGAAATAGGCCCCGTCCAAGCCTACATGTCCTGTATGTTTAACGTCGCCTTGGGGACTGGATATCATACTCCGATTTATCGTCCGTTTTCCAGTGTACGTGTGTCGTTTCACGTCAGAACGCAATAGCGAAGAGCGTATGGAGCGGGAAGAGTTGCGAGTTGGGTGCGGTGACAGTGAAGGCGCGAATGAACCTCTCTAGAGAAAGTGATTAAAAACGCTTTTTACTACTAGAACCTTTTTTTATTGACTGTTTGGATGGTTGCTTTCATGTTATTCAAGTGAAAGATGCAAAAAAAAACGTCGTAGTAAAAAACATTTTGCTTTTGGAAATGGGATAGAGACAGTCTTATATGTAATGTATATATAGATAGAAATAATAGGATATTAGTCATATAAGCTTTTTACGAAACATCTTTATAATTCTTTTTTTACTTGCAATAAATATCCTACTACATCTTGAAGAACATGGCGACATAAAACGTACAAGTAGCAAAACAATCAAAGCGCAAACACACAAGGAACAGTGGTTTAATTAATTTTCACATGAAATGATAACGAAAGCAGATATGAATTAGGCAATAAAACTGATGAAACCTTGTTATAGTTCTCACCTCATGCTTAAAGTATGGTTTCGTTTGGTTCGGATCGAACATGCCACAGGCACCCCCGGGAAGGGCTCCATACCACATAGCTGATTTAGTATAATTTCTGAAAGGATTTTTAGGGTGAGGCGTGATGCACAAACAGATGATAGAATATTCATCATGATATGACCAGTAACGAGCTAGATTTTTAAAGGGCTTACTCTCTTCCAAGGACGGTGATGACTTGTCCCGCCTTATATTCAAGGCAGCTATTACGTCTGCCGTGCTCTGATGTTTTATAGCTTGCTGTTGTCTGAACCTAAGCAAAATATTTTAAAAATTAAATATAATAGTCGCGTTTAATAGTAAGCGCAAATAAATTATTCTTGTATGTATAATATTTAAATGTTGTCATAAAATTTAAAAAAGAACATGGCGTCTTACTTCGTCTGGCCGTAGAGCCCGAAGCCTTGGCCCTAAGTCCTTAAACTTTGGACGATCATTAGGGTCATGTGACCAACATTCGAGCATTAAAGAATAATACGAATCTGGACAGCATTCGGGACGCTCTAGTCGCTGGAACACAACATCTTTATTAGAGGTTTATTTAAATACTAGCAACTCACCCTTCGCTTCCCTCGGGTTCGTCTCTAGGTACGTTTTAATGGTTAGTATAGAACAGACTATATATAGGTACAATGTACATACATAGGTTTTTTTAAATTAGAAATGGGCTTACTCTTGACCTTCATCTTAGCTCGAAAGCATAGAGCTGCTAGCGAGTTTGTCCAGGAAAACAAATACAGGTATCGAAAAGTAGTTAAGTATTATAAAAAATATCCCTTACTTGAGAAATGATTAATTCCCCATGCAATCTTCCACCAACACTACAACAATATACGCTATGTTTTCCGGGGTGAAAACTCTCTAATAATAATCTTATGTCATTCCTAGGGTGTCATACTATTTTCACACCAAATTTCATCTAAATCGGTTCAGCGGTTAAGCGTGAAAAGATGACGGACAGACAGACAGAGTTGCTTTCGCATTTAATGTTAGTATGGATATATAATGCTGGCTTTTTTGTGGTGCTGATCTATCATCTTCGGCTTGGGCTGAACGCTGATAAGTCAGTCAGTGAGTCGCGACATTGCCTTTAGTATATAATAAAATTAGTAATTGCGAATGTACCTTAGGAGATAGACATATACTATTGCGAACTTTTTAAGGCCTACAATTTTCTAGTACATTGTATTGATGTATCTCTTAAGGTTTAGCCAGCCATAGCCTTATAAATTTCTAAGGACGACTCGATAGATCCAGTCATTGCATTTTCCCATGGGAATGAAAAAAATGCCTGTAGTAAAATGTATCCTAAATGTTGACTCGAGTACTAACTTATCAGTACACAAGGTTATAGGATAAAATCGGTGTTGCAGATTTTTCTGTTGGCCTTTTCTTGACCTACAATTTTTTTGTACATTGTTTTCTTGTATGTCTTACGGTTTAATCAGCGGAAAGTTTCTAAGGAGGACTCGCTAAAACTAGTCATTGCGATTTCCCGTGGGAAAGAAAGATCTTCCTGAAGTAAAAGGTATCCTAAATATTGACCTAATAAGTTATCACTTCACCAAATTTGATTGAAATCGGTTCATTACTTTTTGCGTGAAACACGCACACGCAAACAGACATACAGACAAACAGACAATTTTTTTAATAACTATTGTTTTGGGGTCTATATTGTAGTAGGGGAGCCCAAGAGGGGATTTTCTGTAGTTACTCGAGCGCGGCAGATTAACATAAAAGAAGTTACCTTGCACTCTATTGAGTACATTCACCATAATATAAGTCTTCTATATAAAGGGGCGCGTCTAGGGAAGCCGATTAAAATATTTAAAAAATGTTTTGGTAAGGTAGAAATACTTGAAACCGTCAGATTAAGGTGTGGTAGGCTAGTCACATCCTGAAAAGTGTCCAATTCAATAATCTGCCGATTTGCACAAGCCGAAGAGGCAAAAATCGACTATAAAGTTTATGATGATTTTCGCCCCTTTATATAGAAGACTTATATTGTGGTGAAAGTACTCAATAGAGTGCAAGGTAACCTATTTTATGTTAATCTGACGCGCTCGAGTAACTACAGAAAATCCCCTCTTGGGCTCCCCTACTATTGTGTACATAATACGTTACAGTCATTGCTTTAAAAAAAATCATGTGCAGATTTCGATAAGTTACTGTTTTATTATAGTATAGATTAATTATAAGTTTAAACAATTTAGTATATTTTTACTGCTTAGACCACAGACACTTTTTATTTGATATCCCACGGTAAAGCAAGCATACCTGAAAGATTGGCGCATCAATAGCTTCAAGTATCTGTTGACCAGTAAAAGCTGCCCAAGGTTGAAAACCGTAGGTAAACATCTCCCATAAACATACGCCAAACGCCCAAGCATCACTTGATGATGTAAATCTTAAGTACAATATACATTCGGGTGCACACCTAGATAAGTAAACGTTAATCTGATTTAATTTTAATAACATAAACATAAAACTTTGAAAATAAATTATACGAAACAAAAGATGTTCTTTTTTTATTAAGAAGTCTTACCATGCAACAGGTAATTTGAGATTCACGTTGTAGTTCGTTTGGTAATAATCCTTCCCGACGCCCAGCGCACGAGATAGGCCAAAATCTGAGATTTTAACTCTATCCTTACTAAAAACTAAAATATTTCTCGCTGCTAAATCCCTAAAATTAAGAACATAATAGAAAATCTTAAATACGCCATACATAATACATTATATTAAGTCATAATAAATGGATTATGATGAATTCTACTTCAGTCGGTACCTGTGTATCAGTCTCTTGTTTTCCAAATAAGTCATACCGTCACAAATCTGCTCTGCAAATTCACATAGAATTGCAACTGAGAAGTTACAACGTAGAGTAACTTCGCGAAGACATTCCAAAAGGGAGCGCAATGGGGCCAATTCTGTTACCTAAAATATAACGGAAGGCCGCATTTTAACCGAATACAAAATGAGGAAACAAAATTTATTTGAAAAAGTGTCAAGGGGAATTAAATTATTCTATTCAAGGGACGAAACCTTCAAAGATCGTATTCATCGACAGATTTAAGAAGTACTTTTTGCATCTAACGTAGTTAAAAAACCAGTATAGTCTGATATCTTATATATATATATATATATATATATATATATATATATATATATATATATATTTCATTCTTCTGTACGTGTGTTTGTTAACCTATTCCTCCTAAAGGACGGGACCGATTTGGATGAAATTTTATGTGTATATTTCAATAGTTTTCTGGAAGGTTTGAAAATACAAATAGACCCGGCTGTGCCATGTGCCACTGATCGTCTCCTAAACGGCAGGGACGATTTTAATATTTTGTGTTCGAGTGGGTTCCTGCAAGATTTGAATTCTCAAATGGATCCGGTAGGTGGCGCTGCAGTCGGTGTATTACTAAATTTTCTTAAAAAAAACTCCATTTTCCGAGCATTAAATAAATTTAAATTGTTGATTAAATAAAATAAAAATCTATGTATGCATGTATGTTTCCTATGGACTCCAGAACTAAAACTAAAATGTGTGTTGTAAACTTACCAACATTAAGGAATCTAAATGCAATACAACTCCGTATAATCGAACGATATTAGGATGTTCTATACTATGCATCACCGCAGCTTCTTTCAAGAATTCCGTCGAATTTGATGTCATCCTCTCATTTCCCAAACATTTGATTGCTACTTGCAACTACAATAGTAGATTTTTGGTTAGATTATTATATAAGCTTTGCTAATACTGATATTAAGTAATATTACGCTTAAATAAATCACACACATATATATATATATATATATATATATATGTTGATGATGAATGATAGATATATAAAATATCAACAAACCCTTTGATTTCCAGTAGCCCATGTTCCCTGCTGAACCACGCCAAACTGTCCCATGCCAAGTTCTTTATTTATAGTAATATCTTCAATAGCTATAATATGTTTTGTAGGTACTTTTACGTTCATATCTATTACTGTTTGAAAGTCCATTGGCATAAAAACCTGTCCCTTAGACTGAAATAATATGTATAAACTTAATAAAGTTATCTTATATTAACAAACTTGTATTTATTTATACTTTCGAATCTTACCGATTCATTCTTTTTGTTTACATTAAGTAACTTTTTTAATTTTTTCATATAAGAATTTGGAAAGTATTTAGAGTAAAGTTTTTTAAATCTTCTTTGTTCAGGTCTTGAAAGACCAATTTGTGCTAAATCTTCTAATGCAACAAATTTAAGCTGCGACAACTTGCTAACTTTTAATATATCACTGTAAAAAAGATGAAAATTAAAAGTCGTCATACTTCCATTATTTGGGACACAGAAGAAAGCATCGCTTTTTATAATGGCAGAAATTATGGCTTAGCGTTTTCACATAGCACTAAAATAATAGGCATTGATTATACAAATTTATTTCAATTCATATACAAAATTGCGGCACAAAATACACATAGTATTGATTATTATTATCTATAGTGAAAATACATAATTTTTTTTTCTATGTTAATAAAAATGTTGAAGCGTTTATCGAAAAAAATCTCTCTGGGTCGAGGAAAACTGGCAGGCAATAAGCATATCAAGTTGCGTTAATGATACTAACTTTACATGAGCACGATCCTACTGAGTAGCTCTTACGATGTTGGTTTCCAATATTATAATAATTCATTAAATCTTAATAGTTACAATATTATATTTTATACTAGCAGAACCCGCGCATACAAAAATATCTCTAAAAAGGTAGTTTCATACAACACACATCATACAACATACTTGCAACCCCTATTTTAACCCCTTAGAGGATGAATTTTGAAAAATGCTCAGACATGTATTTATTTATTATAATTTTCAAGTAAAATTCAAGTAATTCTGATAATAAATATTTTTTTGTATTATATTATATCGTGTTTTCCCGTGGGAATTAAGTAATCTCCCGCGGGAAACAGTAGCCTGTCTCACTATCCAACTCCAATCAACCAACACAATCTCAATCTCCACACAAAAAAATCACGCTAATCCACCAAGCCGTTTCCACGTGAAAGAAAGACAAACAAACACACTTTCACATTTATAATATTAGTATATATATGTATGACTTTTTTGGCAGGGAATCACAATTAGTAGAATTTACGAGTAAAATATATAATTAGAAATTAGAAAAAAGTGTAATCTATACATATAATAAAATTGTAACTAAGCCGAATCTGTACATTAAATTTTTTTTGGAAAATCTTATTAAAATAGTCATTATTATCGATACAGAGGCTGAATCTATATTTCTGTCTGTCGGTCTGTTTGTGAACGCATCCCGAGAAAACCATTGGATAGATTTTGATGAAATTTGGTATGATGATAGCTGGTTATGCGGGTCAACATATGGGATACTTTTTACTTAAATACTGAAAATATCTCATTTCTGAGAAATCTACACTAAACGTTAAAAAATATTAATCGCTAGTTTATTATATAAATGAATTGCCACATGTATGACCGAGCATCATTTGAGAACGGCTCGACCGATTTGGCTGATTTTTTAACCGACTTCCATAAAGGAGGAGGTTCTCAATGCGTCGGAATCTTTTTTTTATGTATGTTCACCGATTACTCGAAAACGCCTGAACTCTAAGCTATTAAAGAAAAAAAAACATTCAATAAACCTAATATATATTTAGTTGGCAAAAACAATTTTCAAATTAAAATATTAATATTTTTTTCTCTCTTCTGTGTATAACGCGTTCTGTGAATCACAGAGGCTTTTATGTATGAAAGTGGATTGGTGCAGTATTGAAAGATTTTATAAAACTAGCAGGAATTCTCATAAAATAATGGTTTAAAAATATACTTTAAGAAAATACGTCTTCAGGTCGGCGATTAATCGCAAAAAACATTCAACAAACACAACTTCGCATTTCAACATGAAAATATCCTAACACACGCTTCGAAAGAGTGCAAGGTCTACTTAAAAAACTTAAGAGAAAAAAAGTGTTGAAATTAGGATTCGATTATGGGATTAATGGATGGGATTTTTAAATTACTGTATAGATTTTTTAAAGTGCAATAAAGAATAGTAATTATTTAATTAGACCGAGGTGCGAAAACAATGTTCAACTTCCACCACACATCTCTGATATATACTGTAGAAGGATTGAAGTGCAATAGAATTTAGCAAAATTGATAGATGGAATGCCCAAATTGTGCATAGATATTATTAGAGGGTGGATATATTGAGCAAACAAGATTTTATAGTAGGGTCATAGATAAATATTGTTTTTTTTAATTGTGTAATATACGTATCATACGTATTTTTAATATTATAAATGTGAAACTTTGTATGTATGGATGTTTATTACTCTTTTACGCCAGAACGGCAGAACGGATCTGGATGAAATTTGGCACAGAGATAGATTGTGGTCTGGAATAACACATAAGCTACTTATTATCCTGGAAAAATCTACGGTTCCTGTACTGTACTCGTGTTCCGGTTGTTTTTTAGAGGTGAACCAGAGCGACGCGAGGGTGAGCCGCTAGGTATCAATAAAATTATTAGTAAAAATAATTTAATTTAGTACATTCTTTTTGGGTGGGCAAATACTTACGAGCAGCAGTATGTTTTAAGCTCAACTTAAGCTTTTTTGTTTCAGAACAAAACACAACAATCTATACTTTGTAAAGTAAGAAAGACAAGGCCAATAATGATTTTATTTGAATTCTGCCAATATAAGATTATAATGACTACAATACTACTGCCTCGGTGGTGTAGTGGCTAGCATGTACGGCTGCACACTCGGAGGTCCTGGGTTCGAGTCCTGGGTCGGGTCAAGTTTAGTTATTGAGTCTTTCTGTATATTAAGCCTCAGTAACAGCCCGGAGTTGGGAAGATGGCGGTGTTTCACCCCCGTGCCTGGGAAAGCACGTAAAGCCGTCGGTCCTGCGCCTAAACTCTTACTGGTCGTATCGAGTTGTCGTCCCACCAGAATATGAGAGTGACAGGAATAGAGAGTGCACTTGCGTCTGCGCGTACACTTGTGCACTATAATATCTCCTGCGCAGTTGGCTAGTCTCAATGAGATTGGCCGCCGTGGTCGGAATCGGCCAGGAGAACATTATGAGAACATCATCATATTTTAAATTTTAATTTCAAATTATTTAATAAGATAATTATTATTTAATTAGTGATTTTTTAAACCTTAAATATATAAAAAAAATAAGTTTAGGAATATAGGATAAACAATTTAGGAACTACGCATAATTATTACTCAATGTGAAGAAGTTATGTTATTTCAACTAGTTCTGGTGATTTGTATGTTACAAAACATGAAGAATTGTAGGGGGTAATTTTCAGATGTACGTCATTTGATTTTGTCAATATCTGCTTTTAAAAGGAATTAAAATATAAAATATTTATACATATTAAGAGTAAAAATGCTTATATTTTAATAAGTCTTCGCAAAAAAAATCACACCCATATGGATTTTTAAAAGCCAATTTGTGTTAATTTTAATGCACTGAAATATTTGTCTGTAGATTCACTTGCATTCACTTAATATTCAATAATAAAAATTTAACACAAATTGTTCAATGAATACCAATAAAATCAAACAAATAGCAAGCTTTTGTTTATATTTCGTAAGCATTTTTTGTCTAGATTGAATTTCATATTGTTTTTTAACTTACTGCGCAGTTAATTTGTTTTAAACATAATATAAACATTATCATAAACGCTAAGGAAATAAATATTTCAACAAAGTGAATAGTTTCACAATTAGTCTTACAGGATTACTGTGTAAGTGTACTGTAATGAAAAAATAAATATTTTATAAGTAATGTAAGCATTCAGATTGTGTAAAGCTAAGTTCTTACTTAGACATCATATTTTTCAATGTAATAATGTATTTCTTGCAAGGATTATTTTAAAAATTATTAATATAATTAATATAGTTAATTTTATTAGGTTCAGGAACTGTTTCCTGTTCTATGCATATTTTTAATTAGCTAAAATTATATTGGTAATGTAATCATATAAGTGATATAGTACAGTAGCAAGATCATTAAAACATACAAATATTTAACATTTACTATCTTTTCTTTCATATATATATATATATATATATATATATATATATATATAGTCTTTTATATATATATATTTATTGCCTTTTATGCAAAAGTGATTGACAGATGTATCAACGCACATGCCAAGCCCTTAAGGCTAGAAAATTTAAATTTTGCACCTATATTCTTCATATGACGCAGGCATCCACTAAGAAAAGATGTTTCAAAATATAACCCCCAAGGGGGTGAAATAGGGGATAAAAGTTTGTATGAAACTTTATTCCTTGGACATATTTGCATGAAATTTCGTAAGAATTGAGTTCTGCAAAAATAATGAGTCACATATTTCAGTGTTTTCTAAAATTTAACCCCTAAAAGGTAAAATAGGGGATGATAACATAAGCCCAAAAAGTTTTTCTTATAGATTGAACGCGGGCATAGCTGCGGGTTCCGCTATTTACAATAAAACCCAGCTTAAACTATTACTTCAGCAGTCATTGAATAACAGGGTAAAAGCATATTTAGTTTCATTTATTTTTCATTTTCAATTACACAGTACTATAATATATCTATTTGATAAAATAATAGCTATACTGAAACCATTATGCTTCTTGCTATTAATAGTTTGCTTTGACATCAAATAATTTAATATTTGAATCAGAGTTATTTTTTCTAAAATTTAAGTTAATTCTCTTATATCTATGTAAAAAATAGCAATAATCATTAAGTATGACTGGTCTAAGACAAGTATAGCACATATCATATAAAATACAATGCTTTGCAGAATTAATTTGCAGTATGGATGATAAAAAAATATAGCTTTCAAAAGTTCACAGAACAACTAGATAATAAAATCACATTTAACACAAAACCTGAAATAGCAAAAAAAGTAGCTACGTGAATTTTCATTAATAAATACTCTGGTACATGCGCTGCATTTACGAAATACAATTCGCAATGATAGTTCGCAATGCTAAAAAATCAATTACTACTTACCGAATTAACTCATAATACTGCTGGAGTTCAGCTTCTTCGAGGAATTCTCTCAAGTTTTCTTGATCTTCAACTATGTTGTCTGAAAACAACATTAGGTTCAGTTTAGATTTTTCAGAACTACTGACGATACATTTATAAATGTTAAAAATTAAATATAATGATTCAATAATTACCCATGACGCTGTGCATAAAGTTACTATTTCTTAATAGATAAGCATTTAAAATTAAATTCAATGTTAACACCTGAGTGACTTTAATCTCAGAATATTAATATTTAATATTTTTTAGATGATACCCAATCAATACAGCCTACTGCCTACATAGGTACTCAGTGTTGCCAGCTCCAAAAACCAAAAGTCGCAAGAAAGTTTTATTTGTCAACCATGCCAGAAAGTCGCTAATTCTATCAGGGATGGATCCAGCTTCCAGAATTTAAATATTATCACGAATTGAAACAAACACAATAATTATTTCCGAAATAACAATAATATTCAAAAGTGCTAGCATTTGTAACAAAAATAATAGAACTTTTAATATACTATTCATCGTCGTCGTCAAATAAGTTACTGTTTAACGGTTTTTGTTTTATAAGAGTAGTTATTTCAAGAGATACGCAATCTTTACTTTTTTTTAATTGATCTCTCAGTTATTCATGTTACATTGTTTTTATAATGGTCATACTAATAGTCTTAAATGGACTTCAACATTTGAATTTAAAAACTGTTGATTATATATTTTTTCAAATAGATGAAACGTATCTGATGTTGATGTTAGATACGTGGCAAAATTATTTTTGACGTTAAAATTTTTTTTTTGTCGCTAATACTTAAGCCAAAGTCGCCATTATTGGCTAAAAATTCGTTAAACTAGCAACAATGTAATAAAAGTTTTATTGACTATTGATTCGAGAAGGTAGAGGTAAAGAGAGCTATCTCTGTGATGGAAGTGTTAATCGAAAAGATTTAAATTAGGATGGGGCTACTATTAGTAAGTGAGTAGATTAACAAAAAGCGCCAACGTTATTGGAGTAGGAGTAGGATTATTATCTCACAGCAGTTTATAAAATTATATTTAGTAATTTATTTTGGACTGAGTAAATAAATGAAAGTTTGCATACTGCAGTTTCATTAACTACTCTAAGTCACCCAAAAATATTACATTTCTCAACTCAGCACACTTCACTCCGTCTACAAATGCTAAATTCATATCATACTCCTTACTTATGCTAGTACAATTCTGGTAGATTTTTGAATTGCTATTTGCCATTTACGGGTGGACACATTATCATCTTGTCTCCCATATAAGATGGTTCTCCTTAGCTCTACCTATAAAGAATATAGATAAGGAGTCCATCTCCATATGGTTACATATAACGCTACATTTACACGTTTGGCAAGTCTTGACAAGCGTCCACAAACACAAGTGTGTGAACGGGGTGTTTGGCTTGGCTTGCGTGAGCTTGTCACGATCCGGGATAGTGACGGTCTTTAAACAAAGATCATAAGAAGCTTGCGGCAAGCGCTTGTGGCGTATTTACGTTGTTGCGTTTTTAGTGTCGCTCTCGCTCACGAGCTCATAATGTCCATTTCAATAAGATTTTCCAAGAAATATTTAATGTACAGATTCAGAATAGTTACAATTTTATTATATGTACAGTTAAAAATATCTCAAGCCAAACGCAATAGTCGACACAACTTCAACATCCACGTTTGCACAGCTTGCCTGTCCGGAACACACTAATGCACTCGCAAGTGTATAAATGCCATTCAACTTCTAAGTGTTTCTAAAGGCTTGGAGCTTGTAGACGCTTACCAAGCCTCGGCAAGCGTTTAAATGTAACATAACAAATCTGTACGCAAAAATTTTTTGAACTATAGTTCTAGAAACTGACATGAGTTACGCTGATTTATGTATGGGCTAAGATCCCGCTGCGAGATAAGCGATACGTCACGCCTGGACAGCTTCTTACATTATTCAAAGCACAAGTCCGATCATGCATGGAGTATTGCAGTCACCTTTGGGATAGCTCTGCAAAATACCAACTTGCCGCTCTTGACTCGGTGGAACGCAGAGCCAAAAAGCTGATCGGCGACGAAATGCTAGTGAAAACTAAGCTTTACAGCTTAGGACACCGTCGTCAGGTTGCTTGTCTCTCGGTTTTCTACAGACTGTACTTCGGTGAGTGTACCCATGAGCTCCATGGTCTCATACCGCCAGCGCCATTCTTCCATCGGAACACCAGACCTTCTGCAGGATACCATCCTTTTTGGTTGATATTCCGACTATTCGCACTAAGCGCTATTCGTCATCTTTTATAATGCGCACAGCCAAGGAACGGAATGCCGTGTCTGCTTTTATTTTTCCGAGAGCTTACAACCTGAAACTATTTAAGGAGCGTGTTAACAGGCTTCTCCTGGGCAAACTCGCTAGATCATAGACCTTATCTATGCCTCCGAGCTAAGGTGAAGGCTATGAGTAAGCCCATTTTATGTAGCCCATGTATGTTCCAAATCCGGACAGCGAAAGGAACTTCGGTGATTGTTTCTGTCAGAGGTCCCACGAATCTGACTGACTTTTTTATATCATTGAGGTTTACTAAGGTATATATATATATATATATATATATATATATATATATATATATATATATATATTATTTCTCTACATTATTTATAAATTATTACTTAATAAATAAATAATTTATTTTGTTTATTTTTGAAATATTTATTTTCTATAATATAATCATGTAACTAAGTAGCAAAAGTTCTTTTAACTTGTTCGTAGCTGGTTGGTATTTTCATTTTAAAGTACACACACGTTTTTTATCTTGATTTTTTATTTTCCTTCCGAGATGAATTTCAAGTAGGTATATAGCCTGCCCAGCTTTTCTCGCTTTTCGAACAAATAATAAGTATTTATTCGTAGTTCTTATGAAAGTTAAAATGTCTTAATGTAATTTCCTTAAAAACATTAGGCCATCACCTCATTTTACATTCCAAAATTGGTTTCATCCATACATATAATAAAATTGTAACTAAGCCGAATCTGTACATTAAATATTTTTAGGAAAATATTATTGAAATAGACATTATTATCGATACAGAGGCCGAATCTATAGTTTTTAGAATTTTTGTCAGCCTGTCCGTCTGTCTGTCTGTTATGTATGTTGGTATATGTTGTGTATGTGGAAATATCTCATTTCTGAGAAATCTATACTAAACGTTAAAACGTAAGTAAGACGAACCCGAGCGGAGCCAGGGTGAGTCACTAGTTATCTCATAAATGGCGTAAACCATACCAGATTTTTAAAGTAAATCGAGTTTTACCTCTAAATTATTAAAAACCACGTTTTGTTATCATATTTTGCACAATTAGAAAATTTGAAGTAAAGTCTTTTGTAAATTGTTGACTTTCTTAAGTGCTACTTATTTTTTTATTATTATTAATCATTGAAGTTTGTGTGAACTATTATTCTTTTATTCGCATGAAATTTAACAAAAAACCATATTCAATATGGCAACACTAATTTCTAATACATACAAATTACAATATACATTGCAAATATGGCGTAGGATTCTACAAAATGCAGTTGTAGATAATTTTTATAGTTGTCAATTCTGAATTTTAAATTAAAAGACATGTCTATAGGATAAGATCTAATTCAAACATATTAAGTGAGAAAAGGAAGTTTAAATGTGAATTATGAATTTTGCGCAATGTAGGTGAAATTTTTTTTATATATTGCAATCAAAATACTTTACTTCGATAAATTCTTTCATTTATTTCATGTATGTTATTATGAAATAAATAATATATGGGTATTCTTTACATAAGTTACTTTTTTACACACCGGTAAAATATACAACTGAGTTCCTATTATGTCAAGATGTTTAATTGTTTAATATTTTATAGTTGTTTATTATTAGATAGTCTTATTATAGTTAAGCACATTTATTTGTATTAAAAATTCAGTATTGTAAGATACTTTATGTAATATGAAAACAAAATATGAGTAAGACTAAGTTGTAAATTTTGATGAGACTTTGAAATTGTTGCTGAAACTGTGATATGTTAAGAGCTAAGAAGATGCTGCGTTCCAGCAATAGGAAGATTCATTTATAGCAGGTAAGCAATTTTTTTTTAATATTTTGATCACCTATGAATACATGTAACCATGCTTACTAATGTAATACAACATTCTGGCCATTGATAAAATCTTTAATCATTTTTATATTAGAGATTTAACCCTTAAGTACTTTTGCTTATCATATTACTGAATTCATTTATTACTTTATGCTTTAGAATTGAAAACCACAAACTATATTAAAATATCAATAGACATATGCTTATTAAAAACATTGGGAAAATTATGTAGTACTATTCTTAATGTATATTACAGTTTTCTGTACATTTACATTTCAAGTTTCTGTAATATTTATAAAAGTAAAAGCAAAAAAACTTTGACATTATTTTATTACAAAAATATTTTAGCTCTATGCTCTTTGTTCAAAAGCAACAAAAACATTATCATAGTGTTTGAGGGAAAGTAGCCAAAGTTTAAAAAAATATTATGACTAATGTGATTTCACTGAACTTTTCTGAAGTATTAATGTCTACTTCCAGTGGTAACACTTTCGCTTGGGAAACCGATAGAAGTGAGTTCTAATCCCGGGTTTCGCACCTCTGATATTTTCATATGCGAATCATTTCCAACATGATTACCACATGTCTTAACGGTGAAGGAAAACGGTAAAAAAAATTCGTGAGGAAACCTGCATGTCTGAGAACCTAGCAAGTTTTCAAAAGACATGTGAAGTCTGCCAACCCGACTTGGCCAGCGTGGTGGACTATTGCCTGATACCCCACGTATTGATTGTAGGCCTGTGCCCAGCTGTAGGACGTTAATAAGGGCTGAATAAAATGTCTACTTCCACCTTATGAGTGCATATTTACGGTATTTCATTATTATCTTCTCTTAATATGGAATTTTTGAAGGATTTGTTTTGCATGTTTAGAGCTCAAGTCATGTCTCTGAATTTAAATAAATTTATATAATTAAAAGCAGCAGTTATTATATACAGACCAAACCTAAATAAGAAATCACACATTTTACAAGAATATTAGCAAATCACGTTAAAAGTGTTAAAATTCTTACATCACTCAACTTCCTGTTCAAG